ATATTAATATAATTGAGACATAATTTAAGAATTTACCATTTTATGATTATTGGATCCCAGTTGAGACTTATTAATAATTCGATGGTTACAATTATTATTTTCTCAAATTACGTCCCGATATCATTCATCCCTGAAAAATTGTACATACTGTATTGGTCAAAGAGGTGCATTTGGAATACACAGCTGGATTGTGGGAATGGAGATTTTCAATCCAGACAGTTATGGGTGACTATGACTGTTGAGCCATGTAAAGTCATATTCAGGTTGTGTCCTGTTGGGTTTTTATCTCTAGATTCACCTATTTAATTATTTATTTAGATGTTTGGACACTAACTCGACATTTTTATTATGTCACCGTGTTTGAATTTGTATCGGATTTTAGTGAGTTTGTGTAAAAAATCAGTTCACTCATATTCAATTTATTTATTAATTCATGTTTAACAAATTATTTTATTTTGGATTCAAATTGTGTATACATCGTGTACAACCAATATATATACGTGTTGTGTCGTATATTTCTTTAGAGTGACTTCACTCACATCCGATTCGTTTATTAATCGTATCATATTAGATCCACACGTTTTATAAATGAGTGACTTAAAAAATACTCAAACTCTCTAATTTCGTATCGTATTTATGTCGTATTGACAAGTCGAATTAAATTTTAACACCCCCATAACGAACCTATTATGTTAAGAGCGGAGAGAAGAGACTGTTTTCTATTTGGCACCATAATACACTGCTCCAGTAACTTGCTCAAGCTGTCAGCTTCCTTAGTACCCTTGGAACTCCTTCCTGAGAAAAAACCAGGCTGTTTAGGTTTAGGCAACATTGATTCCTCGCTACCCATCATAAAAACTATGGATGACACTGTTGGCCTGTCTTGTGGATGCTGTTGAACACACAATAGTCCCACTTGGATACACCTCTGCACTTGAGACTCCACACATGAGTTCCTCAGGCATGCACCCATTAGCTCCAAAGCCCTGTCTTGTTTCCATAGCAACCAAGCCTAAAACAATTGCAAGAATGCAGTCTCTCTTAGGCTCAGCGAGTGAGCATATATATTTAAAATCCATGAGAAGAATTAATACAAACTCAGAGTGAGGAGGAAGAGAGAAAAGAGATCGTTGTAGTACTTACATGCCCCAGAAGGTTGTGGTGGTGATCTGGATGATGAAAACCTCTGTTTCTTTTGCCACTAACTATCTCTAACATAAGCACACCCAGGCTGAAGATATCGGACTTCACAGAGAATTTGTCATCAATCGCGTACTCTGGAGACATATAGCCACTGCAAGAACTTATCAACCATAAGGTCCTCTAAAGTTTAAACATACTATTTGAGTTTAAGTGAGTAAAACTTACTATGTACCAATTACTCTCTTCGTTTTTGCAAAAGTTTGATCACCTCCGAAAATCCTTGCTAAGCCAAAATCTGAAATTTTGGGAATGAGATCCGTGTCTAGTTGAATATTGCTTGTTTTGAGATCCCTGTGAATAATTCTCAATCTAGAATTTTGATAGAGATAGAGAAGCCCCTATGCAATCTCCATAACTATGTCAAAACGCTTTGGCCAAGCCAACGATGCACTTCTACTCTGATCTGCACATTATCCACCATTTATAAGGATCAGAACTTTTCGCATTAAAATCAAGTGGTTGACTTGATTCAGATGCTTAACTGGCGCATTTAATGAACCAAGGCATTCAACGCATTTAATGCTTAACTGGCGCATTCAATGGGTAGCCTTAAATGTCCAAATTGTCAATCTAATCCACATTCCAAAAGCCAAAAACAAATAATGGTCATGTATGATAAGGCACATACTTCAAAAGACTCCTACTATTATAAAATTTAAGAAAGATCAAATGCATGAAAATGCAAAATTGTTTTTATTACTTGAGCTAAAAACCAAGTTATGGTCATAGTGCACAATATACTGAAGTAAGTATAGTACTGGAATTTATATTTTTTGTGGGTGCAGATGTAATTTTTTAGGGTTTTAGTTACAAAAAAAAAAAGTTAGGATTGATCAGTAACATTCCATGCGTAAAGACGAGTTCGATGGCTATAATATTGGATATATTTTATGTCAGAAGAAATATGCGATGCTAAATACTTATAGTAACCAAGATGGTGTAGTCATGCATGTGTATCAAGGGTATACTTTGGTATATCATCAAACACTAGTCAAAAATGAACTGTGACACGTGACAAGCATGATAAAACAATTGGTGATTGTGTGCTTCACAAGAAATTCAAGTAATCCTTAGTAATCATAGAAATGAAATGGGAAGAAAGAGAACAAAGAGAAGGAAAAAAAAATAAGACTTCATTAAATGGTGATTTGAGATCAGATTGCTATGGAATTTGAGGAAATGATTTTTGGTAATTTTAAATTCATATCTATCGGAGTCAATTGAATATTTGATGTAGGGTGGTGTACTATATGATCATTCTTAAATCTCTTTGCAAATAGTATATCCTTAATTATCCTGTGATTTGTAATCCATATGTGCTTTGTTCAAATTTCATCCCCTACACAAAACAAACTGAGCCATACATCTCATTTTGTGTGTATTTATTGAGTGAGGTTGGATACCCTTTGTCTCAAAAGGGCTATAAGTGTTAATGATCTTTTTACACGACGATTCCATATTTTTTAAACATAATATTAGTTTCCCCGTTTCTATGAATCAATCCAACTCAAACTCTAAGAAGTACCATATAGTCTCTTCCTATAGATGACAGAAAAGAAAAGCTAGCGATTGAGACAGTTGAGACCGACACAATATGAGACACGATCGATGACTTTACCAATTAATCGAGATGTTCTTCTTCTCTTATAAAAGCCACATCTTTTTATTTATTGTATTCTTTCTCCATCTTCTTCTTCATTAGAAGTGTATGAAAGCATCGTTGTGCTTGCTTGATGGGCTTAGCATCTAGTTTGATATTTAAGCCAGCTATCATTGAATACATCGATCTCATTGTGTGGATCGAGATCAGGTCATGGTAGCTAATGGTCCGATGCATTGCTAACCAAGAGACCTGTGTGATCGGATTAAGATGAAATGGTTGATAAGGTGTCAAATCTGCATTTTAATCTCGCATGACATGTGATATACAAAATATGAGTTTATTGATTTGTATTTGTCGATTAAAATACTTGGTGATCTTTAATTTATTTGGTATTTGATATCATTGAGTATATTATTCTTCGTCATATTGTATACTTTTCAGTTTTATTTAACATTTTCAGGTTAATTTTGGTAAAAAAATCAAATAAAATAGTTGAATTAAAAATGGGTGCATCCCAATACAATTATTGTAATAGTAAAATTGAGAGATTTATTTGTATTTGAGGATTATATTGATAATTGTAATTTTATTGAGGAATTAGCGTTTTGTTTATCTTTATTGGAAATATTTTTTATGAATTAACATCTACGAAAAATCGGTGCGTTATAATTACAATTTTTAGAGATCAAATTATAATTTTTTAGGATATTCAAGATCAATCCTAACTTATCAATGGTACTTCTTTTATTATGAAAATTTTGTCTTCTTAAAGTGAAGAGTTCAAACTCCTCTCTCTCTCCTATTCCCAAAAAAAATAATAATAATAACATATTAAAATCAATCATAAACACCTTTAAATAATTATAATTTGACTCCTCAAAATTTATAAATTGATTTCAAAAATTAGAAATTAATGAAATGGTAATGAAAAATATAAACACTTTTGGTACAATAAACTTATTTATAATTCTTTTATTTTTTTAAAGGGACAATTTCCAAAATTCGAGTCCACGATATTCCATATTCATGTATCGTTCCAGACACTAATATATGATTCATTTTTCACACAAATTGTATGTATGTTCACGGATTCAAATTCTTCTAATACATATATTTTTCACTTTTTTTTTTCTTGATCGTCCCCCTTCCACGTTTGAAAGTCACCTTCATGAGCGGGTCCACAGCCCTCTGCACGTTGGGACTTGGAACCTCCAAAGAGAGGCTCCCCCTCTACCCCAAAACCAAAAGTCTCGATGCAGAGAACCTCCTGGAGTCCTATCCTCAGTCCCTTGTCCTTTACCGCTAAGCTCAGACCCTTGGACTAACGTGTCCACGTAAGCAACACGATTTTCTCTCTCCAAAAACGGACAAAGGGACGTGCCACGCAAGACAGTTCACGTGGGTTTGTCTCAGATGGTCAAATAAACAAAACAACAAATGAATATCCTCCGCCATACGTTAGTACAGATCAGCCCTTCCTCTTGAGTTATTCATTAGTTTAGTTTTATGATCTATCTCATCATTCGAGAGGGGGGGGACCACGTTCAAGCCAGATGGCTAACGAAAGACCAGGTGGCTCTCACATGGGTCAAGACCTTATATGGACCACAACCAGCCGTGTAGGCTACCAAGCGTGGGATAACATGCTGACATGTCATCATAAGGAGGAACTAAGAAATTTAGCCTATAATTTTAACTTAATAATTCGATTACTTATATGATATAATAAAATAATGAAAAAGTAGTCGCTTCAACTTCTTCCACCTATTTTTTTAATAAAAAAAAATTTAAAAAAAATGATATAAAACTAACATGATGGTATTTTTAATTTTATTGTATTTAATATAAAATTCAAATTTAATTTATAATCCGTTTTCTTGGTCATAGCATTACCGCCATTGGGTGTTACTTGAGCAGATTTTTTTTAACTATTATCTAAAATTAATTATAAAAAAATAATAATTTAAGATGGATTTCAAGTTATTTTAATCCAATAAATATCAAAGATGAAACGGAATTATTGCTTAATCAGTACTCGTATTATTTAATCCCTCCATTAGATTAGATAGCAATATTTTATAGTTCTAACGTTACTCTTTTCGAGTTAGATGGCTGAATTGTAAGACACAGACAACGACAATACAGGCTTAGCGCGCGCACAGACACACACAGAAACAGGACACAGAGAGAGAGAATGAAGAAGGGGTGCGAGCTGTGTAGCTTAGCAGCGAGGATATATTGTGATTCTGATGAAGCGAGTTTGTGCTGGGACTGCGATGAGAAGGTCCATTGTGCAAATTTCTTGGTGGCCAAACACTCGAGGAGTCTTCTCTGTCACGTCTGTCAATCTCCGACGCCATGGCAAGCTTCTGGTCCGAAGTTTGGGCCTACCTTCTCCGTCTGCGAGACTTGCCTTCATGACCGTAATGGAAAACAGGATAGAGACCAAGAAAGTCGAGGTAACCAAGATGAGGAATATGATGATCTTGAATTTGAAGATGACAGCAGTACTGATAATAATACCGATGGTGAGGATGAGGAGGTCGACGGAGGTAATCAAGTAGTTCCTTGGTCTCCTACTCCGCCACGGCCTGCTCCATCGAGTTCTGGCACCAGTAATGACGAAAAGTACTCCTCCAGCAGGTTTTCTTCTCAGGGCGGTGAAGCTGTTTCTTCATTCAGGAGAATGCCCGAAACTAAAGATCTTGATTCTGAGGTACTAAATATGTTTTCTCTCTCTCTCTCTCTCTCCCTCCCTCCAAGCTTCAAGTTAAGATTTTAGTGATAAATATGAGTTCACTATATTAGTTGCTGCTGTGTATTTTAGTACCTCTGTAGCCTGAAAGTTTTCTTTCATGTTGGGGCAGCATAGCATCGGCAGCTGTTCTTTCGGATTCAATCCAACGGCATCTCAGTGGCTATGAGCTCTCTATCTCTGGAGGAACAATATTGAAGTTTGAGCACTTTCAGACCAAAGAACACGTGAAAAAACATCAAGCATAGAACGTTCAAGATAATGGTGAAGCAGGGTCGACAACAGCAAGGATGAACCATCTTCTTCGATCCTCTCTACACACTATCGTCGCTTAACTATGGAAAAATTTAACCAAAGTTTTTACCTTTAACTTCCTATTGATCTAATAAGTTTTTTTTTTTTTTTGTCCCTATGTTTATTAATGTAATAAAGATTTTCAGGCGTCTTCTCTCCAAATTTAAAGTCAAATTTATGAATGAATAAACAGTATCCAGATAACTGAAATGCAGCATTTTGCTTTTCTACCGACGCAAAACATTTCTGAAGTAATACCTAATCAAGAGACGCCATTGCGTACCCAAATAGCATCATAGCCATAGATATAAGCATCAAGAACGCCAAAGAAACAGTCATGTTATAATGTCTCGGAATAAATAAGCACCCCTAGAATTCAATGAGTACATATATATATCACAAAGAAGGATGCAAGACATCTTCTGGTAGACCTACCTCCAAAAGCAAAGATGCCAGCAATTCCCATACGACTATCACAGTTAATATCAGAGAGAGAGAGAGAGAGAGAGAGAGCAACTAAGGTTCACATACAAGAATCCAACAATCTAGAACATCTAAGTTGTTCCAAATGACAGATTAGGTTTCGTCTTCAGTTTCAGTTTGTAGACACAGCAAGGCCTTCCACTTTCTACAATTGGGGGGGGGGGGGGGGGGGGGGGAAGAAGCAACATCAGAATCTAAAAAACATATATGGAAACGGAAACATGGAAAGAAACATATGATAATATTAATGGCTGACAAGTCAATGTGTGTATCATTCGTTTGTGCGCCTGTTGGACAAATCATATTAGATAGTCAGTAAGAAGATAATTTCTTGCCGAAAAATACATACCTTCCATTCAGAATCTCATTGTGAAACAAAATTTCAGCTAGGTTTCTGCCACAAAACAAGAAACAAATGATTAAATTCTAGCAGGTAAAACCCACAAAAGTAATGTAGACATTAAGTTCAGCTCCACTAATCATCTTGAGGCAAAAACTCAAGAATGTCCCATAGGAAATCAAACAAGAATTCTCAAATCAAGAACCCCGACCGCGGAAAAAGTAAAATGTCCTGTTTGCAACACAAACAATTTAGACATTCCACTCAGCCACACATCATCACCAGTTATATCCATGCAAAACCTATTGCAACCAGAACAGTAACTCGAAACAATTACAAAAAACTTGATCTATCTTGATTGTAAATTCTTTACCGTGATGGTTGGAAGTAAAATGGTGAATGGATGGACTTTATTAATCCTTAAAATTTCTGTATTGCAAGCAAGGACAAGGGCTCTTCGATTTCACATGAAAAATGATTTTCTACCATGACCATCACATCCTCACACACCACAACACAATGGCATAAGTAAACAGAAATATCAGACATGCAAGACAATACTACGCTTCCTTATAAAAGTGAAATGCTTCGCAATCAAAGCATGGATGCCTTTACAACAAGTGCCAATAATTGGCACACTCTAAATCCAGGCAGAGTGCTCCACTCCATGCCCAGTCTTTGGCCACTCCAAAACCTTGGTATGCTGCACTCAATGACCAAAGCAGATAGCTTATTAGCCATGGCCCATGGGTCTAGGCACTTGCAACAAGTGCCAATGATTGCCCAAGCTAAATGCTATACAGCCCTCAACTCTATACCCGAGCATTAACCATCATGGAGACCATGACACAATAGAATTCAGATGCCAACATAACGTAGTAGTCACAAATTCAACAAGGATATAGCACAGACATCATACACCAGGCACATGGCAAAATACATTCATGTCTCTGCATGTACATAAAGATGTGTATGCATATACATACATGATCAGCATGGATAACAAGCATATTTATAAACACGGATAGCAAAAGAAAACAATTGATAACCATATATGTATGCCTATAAATCTTCTCAAAGAAATTGACATACATTATTTATGAAGCCCCAAAACTAATTAGACATTCTAAATAACCCCTAATTGGTAAGTTCTTATCAAGACCCTAGGTTGCGAAAAAAATAGATTTTCTACCTTAAGCAAGCTTACAATTCTATGATCCTCAGTCACGTGACACCAAATGCAAGACCATTCGGTCTATGGGCCTCAGCCAACCTACTAGTCGACATTTGGTCCATGCATATCACCAGCATACTATCATTTTGCTTTATAGCTACTGCATTAAATCCTACTAGCATTATTTTTTGTAATCTCTGTTCCTTGTATACATAACTAATCAGCCACCGTCCATAAAACACTTGAAATCACTCGAGAGAAAAAATCAATACTTAGCATGAACATAATCTGAGTTGCCTGCGAGTCCATTAGTTGTCTCCGACACCATTATCACCATAATAAATATACAGAATCAATCAACTCGAGAAGGCAACACAGAGTTATATTTCACATTCAATAGATCAATTCTAAGTAACGAAAGTATCTGAAAACTTGATCAAGAACAGCAATTAATTCATTCGATTTACAAATAACCAGCTATTTCACAAACAGAGGCAAAAATAGGAAAACGTTACCAAATTCGCAACAAATTATGAAAGACCAACCACTAGCATAGTTCAAAGAATCAAAAACCCTAACCTTTCCGATCATCAGTGGCATCATGATACTCCACCTCCTCCTCATCCCCGGCGCCCACCGATGCCACGGACACCACCGGCGCACCGCCAGCATTTCCACTGTCCTTCTCATCAGGATACCTCACAACAACTACTGGACAAACGCAGTGCCTCACACAGTAATCACTCACAGTCCCAAGCCTCCCATTACTCCCTCGTCTCGTCGCCCCAAACCCTCGACTCCCCATAATAAGCGCACTCAACCCTAGCCTCTCCACTTCCAAACAAAGCCTCTCCTTCATATCATGGTCCTTCACGATATGGATCTTGAACGGAATATCAGCCTCCACCAACGGCTGGGCCAAATCGGTCGATTTCGTCGTCGTAAAAGTATCAAAATCGTCTTCGAGCTTTTGAGTCGACTCTTCATTGTCGGTATCGACGATAGAGAGGTCAACAGAGCCCCAGTCAGCCCCGTAGAGTACGGAAGTGGGTCGGACGTGGATGAGGATGACGGCGTCGCCGGGGCGGAGGTAGTGATGCACGGCCCATTTAACGGCGAAGGCAGACTCGTCGGAGAGGTCGACGGCGATGCCAATTTTGCGCTGGGCGTTGGCAGTTGGGGTTTCGGTGGAGGAAGGAGTGGCGATGGGAGGTGGGAAGCGTGGGGAGGAGGATTTGACTTTGATGGCGGCGAGTAGTGGTAGGTCCGATTCCGGCGGAGTATGTCGTGGCTGCATTGTGAATTGTGATCAGTGGAAAGGTTTTCTGGGTAAGTTTTTGATCGATGACTGAGAGAGAATGATTTTCTTCTAACTGTTGTTGCGAGCGTGTGTGTGTGTCTGTGAGAGAGAGAGAGAGAGAGAAAGAGAATGAGATCACCACCGTTTGTGGCGGCGACTCAGTGGCGTTGGTTATTTGTTCCATTTCTTGGTGGGCTTACTTGTCCAATACGCATAGAATCCAATGATCCAATCTTGGGTTTGGGCTGATATTTTGGTAGGTTCAGTAGGCTAAGGAACCAATATGGGCCTCTTTTTTTTTTTTTTTTTTTTTTTTTCTTTGGAAGCCAATACACTTAATTAGATTTATTTGGCAAAAAGTACATATAAATTTAATATTTAATACATTGATTCATGTGTGTTTATTAATACATATAAATACATATTTAATACACTTTTGAGTCATGTGTATTTGTCGATACATGTATATATATATATATATATATATATATATACACACACACACACATATATATATATATATATTTGTTGTTAAATCTCTTATTTAAATTTTGAATTATCTTTAATGCACCTTAATTCATATATATTTTTTTTTAAAAATGATTTTGTTTTCAAATTATATTTAATGCACCTTGATTCAAGCGTTTTTTTTTTTTTGAAAAATAATTTTATTTTTAAATTAATTTAATATCCGAATAATGTATAGTATAACAATAACAGTGTAACAAAGACAGTATAACAATACACTATAACAAAGACAGTGTAACAAATACACTGTAACAAAAACAGTGTTCAGTAGTTTTGTATATATGCTAACAAATTCAAAACGAAATAGACTATTTTGAATGAAATTATATGAAACTATATGTGTTTGACAATATTTTATGTAAATTACTTGTTACATTATTATTGTTATATTGTTACATTGTTAGTGTTACACTTTATATTGTTACACTATTACACTATTCGGATATTAAATTAATTTAAAAATAAAACCACTTTCTAAAAAAAAATACATGAATCAAAGTGCATTAAAAAATAATTCAAAATTTAGATAAAGAGATTTAACAATAAGTATATACATACATACATAAGTATTTATATATATATAAAAACGTGTATATATAAATATATATATATATATATATATATATATAATTATGTATATATAAAAAACGTGTATATATAAATATATATAAAAAATGTATTTGTGTATATATATATGTGTGTGTGTGTGTGTGTGGTGTGTGTGTGT